TATTTGGTTTCGACCCACTCACCTCGCCAACTATTTTGGTCGCAGGGTGTTGTTTGATTTTTTATTAAATACGCATTTAATGTAGTTAAAGATGGGCTCTTTCGCAGCGTGTCTTCGTCATTTTTCCAAACATACTTGATTTGCGCCTCCTCATAGGAAACTGTGAAATGAAAAACCAAAAATAAATTGACATAACATTTTTAATCCGGCCATATTATTGAGAAATGTTGAGTTGATAATTTTTCTTTTTGTCCTAACTTACTGGCGACTATAAATGTCATTTTAAGAGCTTGTTCCAATTGGAAAATGTAGATATTTATAAAGCACTGAGATCTCATGCAGCTGAGGACCATGGCTATTCGAATATTCGGTTAATAAACGTTCTAGTTTTTCATGCAGATATCCGGTTTCTGTCCATACAACCGGTTAATATATATTAATTTGCTATCGGATATCCGGTTAATATCCGTTAATTTTGCTTTACGGATATTCGATTAAGAGTCGTTCATTTTGTTTTCCGGATATTCGGAAATCTAGTTAATATCCGCATATCCGTATACTCGGATTTTTTAACAGATATTCGAATTTTCGTATAAACGAATTATCCGCATGTTCAAAAACCTAGACAGAATTTCCAGCCCTAGAGAGGCTTCGCTCATCGCTGTTATGGTATTCAAACGCGCCTCGCACAGTTACATAAATAACTTTTTTAGTGGAAAATATTTAATTCAATTGATATAAACAAAAAGTTTATTTGTTGTAATTAAAAATTCCAGGTGTACATATGAGCACATCAAAGTATAAATAAAAAAAAAAAAATTAAAATTCCTTACAAGTAAGCCAACAATGTAATAAACTATGTGTTGATTATTAGCGCGCCACATCGAAGCAACAAAGCTGGTGTCAACCAGCTGAATAGTTAGGAGTCGCAGAACAATCGAAGCTGCTGCCGCCAGGGCATGAAGTAAAAAAGGTCGAACGAAGTGCAGCAACAGTCCGTTTTAAGCTACCGGCTGTTATTGAGCGCCTGCGGCTCGTAAATATCCATGCCAATAGCCTGCAGGAGCACAGCAAATGACAGACAAAAAAAAAGAATGCTTCCTTTAGCTTTTCTTCGAGCACAAACAAAAGAAACTTGCAGCCGCCTGCTCCCTTGTAGTTATTAACCCTGTATTGTATTGTATTGTGTGGCATGCGCTAGGACTATTCGTATGTGTATGTATGTATGTATGTACATATTGTTGAATGCTGCATTGCACCAGCGTTGGCGGAAATAAATGAATGAATGAGCAAATGAATTGCCTTGCAATTCCCAAGTCACCTTTTAAATGCCGATTTTCATTGATGCTACGAGTTGCTATTGTGTTGCGTTGTTGTTCTTGCTGTTGTTAGGTTTATTGTTTTTTATTTTGCTTGCATTTTTTTGTTCTTGTATTGTACAAAAGCTGGCAATTTACTATTTATTGCTGTGCTAATTTTAATTAATATCAAACAATACATTTCTTTTACCTATACATAGAGATGCATTAAAAAATATTGAAACGCATCAATAAATTTGTTATTTGTTTACGTTGCCTGCTTTTTAATTTATAAAGTATAATTGCTCTGCACACTTAAATTTTTTTTATCTACTACTTACTGCTTTCCATTGAGAAGGAGCACTTTGGATCATCGAATGGGAATATGTGCAGACTACCTTGGCAGGATAGGATCAAATGGCGTCTGTAATGAAGAAAAACGAAGTAGAGATTAATTACCTAATGACTCACGATTGAGAGAATACCTATATAGAATACCTATAGAGAATTCTATCATTCTTGCTAATGACTAATAATAGTGGAGCGAATATTTATGTATGTATTTTATTTCTATGTATTTGAGAAAACTGAAATCATTGAAGTTGTTCGCTGCGTCTAACAGCTGCAGCATACATTTTAATATTACTCATACGACGTGGTGGCCTACATATGAAAGTTAGTGAATAAGTGTGTGAGCATGTTGGTTGCTCTTTCACGTTAAAACGGCTGCGCGGATTTGGCTACAGCTGGGCATACAAATAGCTTATGACCGGGATTAACAAATACGGTATTTTAGAAAGAGATTCCTAACCTGTTAAATAAGTTAAAATCCATTGAAAACAATTTATTTCAAAAATATTTTTAGGAGGGCTGCCACCTGTTTAGATATTCAAAATCAATTTAATGAGCAAGTTCAGCGAAATATTTTAATACGATTATTAAAGAAGAGAGAAATAAAGTATTTTTATGAAAATATTTTGAACTGGGTTGCCATCTGTAATCAAAATCAATATAATTAACAAGGTAACGAAAAAATTTTGTGATGCTTGTACAAACGATAGGGGTTTAAATAATCTTTATTTCAAAAATATAGAAAGATTGCCAACTGCTCAAAAAGTCAAAATCAATTAATATTAATTAATTTATTAATAGGTTAAATAAAAGCTGTTAATAAATGTACACACAAACATAGCTTATAATCGAAAAGAGTTTAGAAGTCTTTATTTCTTGTTTCCAATTTCTAAAAGTGTTGTTATATATTAAGAAATTCAGAATCAATAAAATTAACAAGCTAAATGAAATATCTAAGCATGGATATTAAAAGGTACGTATTTAAGAAGCTTTATTTCGAAAATACTTTTGCAGAGGGCTGCCAACTTTTTAAAAGATACATTTAATTTAATCAATAAGGTAAATTTGGTATTACTATTTGTACGACAAATAAAAGAATGCTCAGAGAGCTTTATTTTGATACAGTTTTTAAGGGGTTGCCATCTGATTAAAAGTCAAATTCATTTCTATCAATTAGTTTAATATAATTTTACAATATTTATATCAAACGAAACAGGTTTAGGAAAGCTTTTTTTGAAAATATTTTTGCAGATGATTGCCACCTTTTTAACGGTAAAATTGAATTTAATCAATATTTACCTTAAATATAATATTAAAGGTTGTATGTAAAATAAAAGAAATTTCAGAGTGCTTTATTTCGAAAATATTGTAAAGGGGTTGCCACCTCTTTAAAAGTTAAATTCATTTGTATTAATAGGTAAAATGAAATATTACAATATTGGTGACAAACGAAACAGGTTTAAGAAATAATTATTTCGAAAGTATAATTGAAGAGGGTTTCCATCTGTGGAAAATTCATATTGAATTTAATAAAAAAGTTCAAGATTGAACGAGGTTTAGGAAAGCTTTAATTCAAATTCAATTTGAAAGGGGGTTACCAGCTGTTTAAAAGTCTGATTCCATTTAATTAAAAAGCTAAATAAAATATTATATGTATATAATATGTATGTCAAAAGCAAGATATTTAAGAAAACTTTGTAAGGAGGGTTACTACCTGTTTATAAGTACATATAAAAAAAATTATAAAAAGGTTAAATGCTATATACATATATATACATGGGTGCCAAACGAAAGAGGGCCAAATTTAACGATTACGCTTTATGCAAAAATCTAAACCCAACCATTTTGCAATCCCGATATTAAAATAGTATTTTCGGTCCTTAGGTTTGTTTGAAAAACAAACGGATAATTATTGTTTATAATTTTCCATCTTGGGTAAAAAATATGAAATATGTTTACTAAAGTTTCCACAGGTTTTTAGCGATCTCTAGAGATTTTCTAAAGTTTTTCGGATTTTTGCAGGAATTTGGGAATGTTTCCGAACCCTTTTCGAATATTTTGGGGATTTTCTAAAAATTTTGAGACTTTGTTGGGCCTTTCAGTATTTTTCTTTGACTACATGTGTTTCATCTGAAACTTTTCGTTATCTTTTAGGAACTTTTGAACTTCCCGTGATTTTTTGAAATCTTGCGGTACTTTTGTGGGTTTGTTCGAGACATTTTAATAGATATTATGAGTGCGTGTGTCTAATTCGGTAAGTTTTACGCGACTCTTAGAAACTTTTATAAAATATTCCTTTTTTATGTAGGCCTGAAACTTGAAGTACCAAAAATTATATCTATATTTTATTTTATTTAGTAATAGGGATCACTAGATTAAATCAAGTGCCATTTACAATAGTATTAAATTAAATACTCTCTCTCTTTGCATTATTCTTTTTCACAGAACTTTTTACAATAAAGTACTTCCATTTCATTCACGCTTAATACTGGCATCAAGTTCCAATGGCGGTGTAGTACATAGATATCAGAGAGCAGCATGACTACGCTCATTGCCATTTAAACAGTATATACTCATATAGTGAGCAGTGAGATTCATACGTTGTTATTTCAAATCGATGCTAAGATGCATTGCACTTCTCATTTGCTTTCAAATGTAACATTAAAATTCTCTTACAAAATAAAATCAAGCGAGTGAGAACCTACGTTATGCAAAACAGCCCGAGCGATCGAAAGGACAATATGGCAGTTGGTATTTTTAGATAAAAATTATCTTTACAATTTGATTTTATTTGACACTCTTTTACAATTTTTAACTATTGGTTTATAAAATTTGCAAAAATCATCTGGAAACGCAACCTTACATATACGCAATTGTATACACTAGATATTTGTTATTCAAATCAAGCACTTTCTGGTTGCTGTGCTTCACTCACTCATTCGACAATGAGTATTATGAATGCATCCATGCAGCTCTTTAATGCATACATCAGTAAGTATGTAAGTAACGCCAGCATTTGCATTTACTTATGTAAAGCACTATGCGCGCAATATTACTTATTCAAAAATTTTTGATGCGTGACGGAAAAAATGTCCAACACGGGACGTTGCACGAACAACCGTGGTGGCCAACAAACCACCAAGAATTGTGTGCGATACGCGTGGTCGCTGTGTACATATGTATTATGAATGCGAGCGTGCTAATGAAATAGCCTTCTCTTTTAGTATTATTTTCATATTTTATTTCTACTTTGTAACTGAAAACTAAAATGGTATACTTGTAGAAAAATTTACATTTTTCAAACATTTCCTTGCACATCGTTGACGCCATTTTGACGTGGGCATTAAGATTTTTGCTTCCTTTTTAAAGTTGAAAGAAATTAAAAAGGCACAGAGCATTAGAATGACAAGCTAGACTTAACACTTACTTACTTTACTTAGCATATACAAAAGTACTACTCGTATAATTAATTTACACACCTCATTGCGTACGTAATGGTCCCATTTCGGTAGATTCTTAAAGCAAAATGCATTGGTATAATGGGATCCTTAAAGTCGCCGTGCATAATGAAATAGGTGTCCGGTGTCCAGATGCTGTCGTGATGATGCAACGCATTCAAGAAGTCATAATGCGATTTGTTGCCATATTGTAAACGTGGATCGTTCCACTGTTGATTGAGTAAAAATTCAACTTCGTATTTCTGGAGAGAGGGGAAGAAGAGAAATGGGAATGGTTTAAGAATAAGTTTGAGATGAATGAAGTGTTTTAAGGAAATTTAATTGTAGTAGTTACTCACCAAACTACTCTCATCGGGCGAGGCTAAACTGAGCAGCAACACATTCACATTTACCGTCAAAGTGCCTGAAAAGGTGAGGATTTTAAGAAGAAACAGCTTATTTTTTTATTTTTTTTTTACAATAATTACAAAAAATTACGAAAACAATCAAACAAAGACGAAATTAATGGATAGTAATAAAATAAATGGATACAGTGGCTGGCAAAACTAGGGATGCGACATTTTAAAAGTTTTGGCTATTTAAATTTTGTTTATTTATTATTTATTATATTTTTTTATAAAAATATAAAACACTATTTAACAAAAACCACATAAGTACTTTTTACAATCTTTGTATAAAAAGTAGGAAAATTTGAAAAGCTTTCATAAAAATTTCAAACTTTTTATTCCGAATTTTAAATTCAGGTAATGCAATTTTGAAGTAGCCAGGACTTAACTCAGATTTTTGCGTATTTTTTTTTTTGCTGAGGGTGTCACCCATTTTCTTCCATAAAAAGTATGTTGGGACATTTTTTATATGGAGGAAAATGCATGAACGCTAAGTCCCAGCTCCTTTAAAATTGCATTCCGTTATCTCGATAAGTTAGAAAACTGCATAACTAGGATTTTGCTTTCTTTTGACTTACATGGTTTTATAAAAAATAATAAAAATTAACTAAACAAAGAGAAATTACAAAAACTTGTTAAAATATCGGGTCCTTATTTATTTGCCCACTACCGTACATTTATGTATACAAAAAGAAAACTACAACCAAATTTATCTGCATGAGCGAATATGTACTCCAGTAAATAAAAAAAGTAAAATAAATCGAAATAGCTTAAATCCATTAGCCTATCACTAGAACAACAAAATGTTGAAAGAAAAAAAAAACTTATTTTGAAGTATACAGATTTGAATTCGAGAAAACCAACCGCGGTTATGTGGCCTCCTTGAGTTGCTGACTTTGGCCATATCCGGTGAAGATAAACCGCAACAAAAATCTTCATCTGTAAAATTTAAATATTATTAAATTCGTTGGAAAATGTTTATTAAGCTATGTATGTATCTTTGGCTGGTCCTTAAAATATCAACATCTGCATCTGCGGCGCGCCCCTTTATATTGTTCTACGCACAAAATAAAGACATACACGAAAATTTCAATATTAAAAGAAAACACTTTAGAATTCGCAAACAAGATTTGTAAAATTTTTAATTAAAAAAAAGTCGCAAAAAATTCATCTCGAGCGCATTGAATTTTATTCATGTAAATTCATAAATTCACTGAGTGATAAACTGGCCGAAGTCAAAATATTTGCGATTTCAAATAAAGTATTTTTTTTTTAAATTGTCATCAATTCGCTGAACAATAGCTGATCGATGTAAAAATATTATCGAGCTTTTGCGATTAAAAAAAAAGATCATTTTAATCTCTGGTAGGACCTTTAAAATTGCGTTTAAAAATTTCAAGTTTTGATCTAAATAAAGGGGTGCCCCATAATGTTGCTATTATAAAGCCCTCCCTAATGTAGCTGTTTCAAAACATTTAATATTCCTAATATTTAATAGTGTTTCGGAAATAATTAAAAATCAGCACTAATTTATACCTCTAGTAATAGTAATAGAAAGTAATAGAACTTTCTCGTTTATGCCTAGTATTTCTATGAAAATAAAAATTTCTTATGCAAAACAACACGGAACAGAACCGAAAAGTTGTATGAGGTAAAAATTGGGCTCGATTTGAGGCCACAGATATATTAGGGTGGTCCAAAAAAAATGAAAGAAAATGTTTCCAGCCACCCCCAAAAATGAAGATTTTCGGAAATAAGGAGACCCGTATTTTTTTTTATTCTGGTACTGATTAAAACTTAGGGCCGTTTTCACCACATCTGGTGAACACTGATCTCCAATTAAACATCATTTCCGACGTTACTGACTCCATGCATATTACATTATGTCGGTAACGTTGGTAACGATGTTTAAGTGGAGATTAGTGTTAACCAGAGATGGTGAATACGGGCCTTAATGGTGCCGCGAAAGCTTTAAAGTTTTTCATGAAGAAAACGAATTTTTGAAGTAAAACTTACTTTAGCAGTCCTTACTGCTTACTTTAGTGAGGGAATTTACTTACTTTAGCAGTCCTTACTGCTTACTTTTGAATTTTGAATTGAGTTGTTATTGCAGAGGACCATCGATATATGTATGCACATTAGGGTGGTCCAAAGAAGCAAAGTCGGAGTTTTAATGCTCTCACCCCTAGGATTATTCTACATCGAACAAATTATACCCCTAAGTTTTTTTTAATTTCGAAATCAAAAAATATTTAGACTTCGCCCAAAGTGCTCAAATTTTTCCAAGTTTTCGTAAAAAAGGTACAGAATTCTTGAAAATCAATATTTTTCTGTCCGAAAATTCTGTTTGCCTTCAGGAGACTTTTAGTAATAAAAAAACAAGAAAAAATTAAGGCTTCAAAAATTAAATGAAATAAAAAAATTAATTTTTCTTCTTAAAACTATAAAATACAAAAATTAAAAGAAAAACAAATTACCTAAATTAAAAAAATAAATAAAAAATAAATTTATATGAATTAAATGGAATTTAAAAGAATACATATTTTAAAACAATAAAAATCAAAGCAGAATCTAACTAAAAAAAAAATAGTTTCTAAAAATTAAATGAATAATAATAATATTCCTCTTTTTTGAAGAAATAACACCTAAACATTAAAGGAAAATTAAATTAATAAAGAAAAAATGTGTATATAATAAGTTTCTAAAAAGTAATGAAATTTCATACCTTTTCGTTTAAATTTATTTGAACAAATCGGTTAAAAGGTCTGAAATTTTAAGAAAAAAACATTTGCCTATGCCCTATGAGTGTTACTCTAGACGAAATATGCTAAAACATAACACCGGTGTATCCGGTTTTTTCTGAATTTGAAAATGGTTGACCAGATTTCACAAAATGCCATCTTGCGATTAATTCGAAACCCGGTTTTCGAAAAAAAGCGAATAATCAAACGCCGTAGTATTTAAGTTCTCGTATGCCAGCAATGCAAAAAAACAAAATATTACATAATTTTTTTATAACCGACAATCCTATCTTTTGTATATGAAAATAAGATATTTTCTTATTCTACTTCTTCTTAATTTATGTGTTCGTGAAATAAAACTACTGGTTGTGAAAAATATGCATCATAATTTTAATTTTTGAAGATTTCTGAGGAGAAATATTCTCAGTCACAGGAAAGTTACAAAATATTAATTTCCTTGTGTATTTTTGGACCATCCTTATGTACATATATGCATGGATTTCCTCCGTGTTTGTTGTAATAATATGCTTTACCCTTTTCCCGCACACTTTCCCATTTATATGTTAAAATATATTTTCCATACGGCTGATTAGTTAGGTCCTTCAAAAACCCTCTCCAATTTCAGCTGACATTTTCTGACTTTGCAATGTGTTTTTTTTTTGCAATTTTTTCATGTATGTATATTTTTTTGGCATTTCATTACCCACCAATGTTCATTCTTGCCACACAGATGTGCATTTCTCTACATACTCGTATGATGCGGTTTAGTTAACAAAACCAACAAGTTACCTCCTGTGACTCTGCTTTACATGCGCACAAGTCTCGTGTGTACATTTATGCGCATAAAAAATGAAAATTAAAAAAAGGAAAAAACACACACTCCCAAACGAAAAGCTTACAAGCATGTATGTACATACAATTTCCCAGCTGAGTAAACGAACACTCCAAAATAACTGGCATTCACACGAAAAAATGGCGCAGATGCATACATATGTACATAGGTATGTATACATGTGTATGGTATGGGTAAGTTTGAAAGTTAATGCATACATTTATATATATAGCGTAAAACATACATACATACGCATACTCACACTCCTATACTCACCGTTAACAGGCGGCAGTAGACGTTTATCGTAACGTTTCTTCTCCAGCAACAAGTCCAGAATTTCCTTATCCGAGCTGGACTCGTCGAATCTGCGAATAAAAGAGTTGCAAGAGGGCGCAAAAGTCGAGAAAGGAAAAACAAACAAAAGCAAAACAAAAAAATTAAAAATAAATGGTTATAACTGTAAATTCAAGGTATGTATGTGTGTATTTGTAATGATTATACAGAACAATTTTTTAACATTTTACATATATTCTAAAGAGTAGAAATTATTATTTTTTTCTTTTGATATGAAAAGGGAAATCTAAGCAAAGTAGGTAATGTAAATATGTAAAAATGTTTTTGAATGCATGTATGTGAGTATGTGTGCGTTTGCGGTGGAGACTGTGTGCAGCAGACGGTATACATACATAGGGATTTTGTTAATGGAAAAGTAAGTTTTGTTTTTCTAAGTGCGGTATGCCTTTACCTAAGGGTATGTTTTCACTGAAACACACACTTCTACTAAGTATGTAGTTTGTATGCATGTACAGCGTCGAATGTGGTCTAACTGCAACGAATTCTGTGTGTGTGTGTGTGGTATCATTACATTTCATTATCACTTTGAATACTAACATTACTTGAAATGAAATTTTGTACAAATATAAAACCTACTTTGGGCAAAGCTTTGTACTTTTTGGGTGTGGTAGCTCTGCTAATTAAATTAAACATTCTCTTAGCTGAGAGCGGCCACGTGAAGTGTAGCACTAAAATTTGGCCAAGACAAGGACTAAAAACAGTACAAAATTTTTTTTTTAATTCTATTATTGGTCCAAGCTATTTGGAGTTATATTTTAAAATATGACCAGATTTTAATTTAAACTGTTACAAATAATAACTTTTGCATTAATTTAATTTTTTGAAAACATTTTTTTTGTGTTATTCACGCTACTATGAAAGGCAAAAATGCAGAAATATGCGGCTATCGAAAAGCAAAAGCACTAGAATGTATGAAAAGGTTGATAATTAAAATTTTGAATAAATTTAATTTTTTTTCGATGTGCAATGGCAAAACAGCTATTGATTGTATGATATGATTATCTACGACTACTTACTTAAGCGCACAATTACGCTCTCCACATCCATGGAGACGATGAGAACTGCGTCCAATTAAAATTATACGTGGGATTTGATTTATAAAAATTTTTGACTTTACTGAAGTTTCATTTTTAAGGTACTAAATCTGTGTGCAACTTTGAATGCATTTACAAAAAAAGCTAAATTTTTTATACACAGAGAAAGCTTAGAGTTTATTAACAGATGCCTAACGGTAATTTAATACAAAGTTTGCACTAATGTATACAACGTTATTTTCAAAATAGTCTAAGGTAATAAACGTATTTGAAATTTGGACATATGTACATACAAACAAAAGCTTAAAAACTTTGGGAATAATTGATAAGCAAAACTTTTATAAAACATTGCGGCAATTTCTGCTGCTGTGGGAAGCAAATATTGTTTTACCGAAAACAAAATGTTTAGCATGCGATGACACATAACAATTCTAACTCAAACTAAGCTTCCAGCTCGAAATTAAAGTGAACATAGTCACATTCGATCCAGACCAGTAGCCGGCAGTAACCGAGTCTTTTTTTTTAACAGAGAAGGAGGGAGTATCACCCTTAGGGCTCTTCCTAAAAAAAATATTGCAGTAAGCCTGGCAGGCGAAAGCAGAAGTTATTTTTACCCTCACTTAGTGCTGGTATCAGGCGTATGTACAGTAGAACAAAAATATGAAGCAAGGTTTATACCCCAGGTTTGACCAACATGTCAGCCAGCTCCTTTCCTTTTTGTCTCGGCACACAGTAGATTTCTTACTGTATGCCACGTTTTCAATACAGTGCAGTCTTCGAAGCTGGAACGTACCAGATTTATATCTGACCAAGAACTGCAATAGCATTGCACAATGGCAATTTTTATGCTTGTACCACAACCATAAATGGTAAGTTCCAGTTGTCTCGTAAAAAACAGACTAGCAATGAAAGTTATTTGTAGATGATAAATATATTACATATATATTAGGCTTTCATATGGTATCGTAATTTGCCGTGTCGTATATTTTAAATACTTCTGCGGTACTCATACAACAACCAAATAGTTTGAACTATCACAAAATCTACTAAATATATGATTTTAGGGCTGTTTGAACAGTGGAGAGTTAACTTACATACGGCCCTTAATTTTTCATTTCTGAACTGAAAATCTTTAATTAACTGCCAAATGTGAGTTAACTCGTCACATGATATTTTCCGAAACCCCTTAACGTATTTCTAATCATTATACAATTTATGAGATCCGAGACTTTACCGTAACTTGTGAAACACCTGACTCGTACTATTTCGCGGGAATTTAACATTCTTAGGCAAAAGGACATACAAGACAAAATTTCTTGACGTTTTCAGAGTTTCCTACTCGTCTCTAGAAGACTTTTTTGGGACTTTCGTTTCTTTCGAACCCTTCGAGTTTTTTCGAGACTTTTGGTTAGATATTTTTAGGCCTTTAGGGAACTCTTCGCTATTTTCGGGAGTATTTTGAAAGTGTTTTTGGTATCACAAAGGAGCATGTTCTAATTGTCTAAGTGAGTCCCGGTTACACGGGGCTGCCACCTAACTTGAACTTAACCTAACCTAGGATATGATGGATTTTTTTGGGTTTTTCAAAGCCCTTATGAAACTTTTCCGGATTATTGGGGATTTTTTGATATTTTTTCAGGATATTGTGGCCTTTTAGCGATCTTTTGGGGATGATTTGAGGTTTCCAGGTATTTTTCGCGGCCCTTCATAGTTTTTCCGATTTGTCTGGACTTTGTCGGAAACCTTCGGCAATCTTCGGAATCTTTAGGGATTTTTTTGAAAGCTTCTGAATTGTTCGGGTTTTTCGAGATTTTGGCGTGTTTTCTTTTGTGGGATTTACCGCAATTTTCATGATATTTTTCTGGACTTTTGTGATTTTTTGAGACTTTTTCGGAATTGTTCTATTGTTAGGGATGATTTTCGCAACTTTCAGAGGCTTGCTTCTAATCAGTAGGCTTCCGAAACTTCTCGAAATTTATCCAGTAAGTTTTGGGTAATTTCTTGATTATTTCTGTATTCTTTGATAAAAAAAAAAATAAAAAAGGGTGTAAAGCGCATTGTTTTGTACGAAAATTTTGTAAAAATTTTATAAACTAACAATAATATTTTGAAATATCGTATATTAATTGAGAGAATTGTTGACTCTCAATGATTTGCTTGAGGTATCGCTTTTGTGTTTTTTTTGTTTGGTTGGGACGCAAGCTAATTGAAAGCTATGTATATCTAAACATCATGTAAACTTAAAAAAATCTCAATTTTTAAATAGCTCAGATGTATGCATGTATTGACTTTTGTATTGTTATAATTTTTAATGTATGAAGCACTTTGAAACAACAATAGACAAATAAAATCTTTAATTAAAGAAATTACATGCAAACTGTTTTAAGTGTAGTTCGTCTTCGCTAACTTTGCTTTAATGCACAAATTTGAACAGGAATTAAAAATTTGGTTTAAGAGGCTTTTTGTTTAGTAGGCAGTAAGCGCGACTGGTTTTAACAAAGCTTTGTATTTTTTATTGTATTTATGTAATTTAGCTAATTTTTGGTTTACTAATTTCATTAAAATAAAATTTGAAAATTTTTAAGCGTGTTAATTTTTGAATAATTTGCTTTTAATGAGCGCACTTACTTTGACCAATCGATGCCTTGACTGAAAGAAAGAAAAAGTCAAAGAAAAAGGAGTATATAACAAAATTTTATAAACCAATTAAATTTGAAAAAAATTTAGCTAAACTTTTATATTGAAAATAGTGTAAAAATAAACGGATACACTTAAGCCGAATCGGTTTAGGAGAGTATAAATAATATGCTAAGTAAGAAATAAGGGAAAATCTACTAACGCTCTATCGCGATTTCGAATGCCTTGAAATAGAGTGGAGTAGTGGAGAGTGTATTTATGTATGTAGTGCACAATTAGGCGTTTAAAAAGTAGACACAAGTAAAATAAATTTCGAAGTATGGATATCAAAAAGACTACCAACGTGTTTTGCTGTGCTTTTCGCTAGCTAGTTCTAGGTGTTCATGTGTGCGCTTGTTTAATGTGCGTATGTATATGTATGTATGTGTGTGTGTTTGCTTTATTAACTTTCTGTGCAACGCTTCAAGTCCATTGTGCTGCCTATGCCTACTAATGAGATATGATGTTTTCTTACAATTTATCACACTCCTACTCTGGTTTGCGTTTTCACACTCAACACCCCCACCCCTTCTCCCAGTCATCTACTTACATAGGATGCTTATCGAACGGCGCCTTGTCGGGCGAGTGTGCCGCCGCTGTTGTTGTAGTCAAATAGCAGAGCACCAAAATAACACTCGAAGCGGCATAAAAGCTCAACGAATTGCCCAGCAGATGATAGTAGTTGTGACCGATGTAGCTAAAGGCGCCATAAGCGGCAGCCGCAACTGTCTGAATGCCGCGTCGCAAGCGATGTCGCTGCTGTTGTTGCTGGTATTTTTGCGGTTGTTGTGGCTTTTTTTGTGACTTTTGCGGCTGTTGCGGTTCTTCTTGCTGTTGAAGTTTTTGTGGGGAATGGTGTTGTTGTAATTGTGACGCTTTGAGTTGTTTTTGTTTCTTCTTATTGACGGACATTGTTTGATGTTGATGTTGTTGTTGTTGTTGTTGTTGTTGCTCCTGCGGTTGCTGTTGGTGGTGGCTGTGGTGTTGTTGCTGTTCTTCGATTTGTTGTTGGTGGTGGTGGTGGCAGTATGTCAACGCATTCCTTTGCTGCCCCAAAGTGTTTGGCAGCTCCTGCTGCTCTACGCGCTGCTGCTGCTGGCGGCAGCATTTTGCAGTTTGCACTACATCAATTCGTTGCTTTTGACGCTGTTGTTGCGGCTGCTCGTCGCGCCGCACTCGCGTCTGTTGGCGCTCACGCTTATATGCCATCTGCAGCGACTGGCGCTTGCCCTCATCAAGCCTCTGCAGCTGCGCCGGCTGGCTGTGTCGCCGGCGTCGCTCATGGTTCAATCCCTGTGACCATGTGCCAGCGCTCTCCATCGGCTCTTCCCCCGCGCATTGGTCCCTCGCTTTGCTCAAACTATATCGCAGTCCAGCCAGCCGCTCGGTTAGGGCGCTGCGCTCATAATGCAGCAGCTCATAGCAGCTTGTGCGCGCCAGGGCGGTGGCTGGCGCAGGCGGACGCGCGCTTGTCTCCATTTCCCTCCGCAGCGCCAAGCTACCGTATGCCGCGCGCCACGTTTCATTTTCTCTTGGTTTCTCTGGTTCGTATTCTTGCCTCGCTTGAGGTGGAAACTCGTCGCGCGTGTGCGGCAGTTCTTGCGGCAGCTGTCGGTGGCAACAATTATTTCTTCCGCTTGCCGTGCGGTGACGAAAGTTTGCGTAACAACTTTCCTTGTCGTTGCTGCTGCTGTTGTGTTGCGCGTTAATATCAAATCCACTTGGGCAACAATTTACACAAGTGGCATATAATTCGCAATGGCGTCCGCCTACAGTACACAGCAATCCTTCAACCGCAACACCAACCACTTCCGCCTCTACGCTCTCACTTTGGCTGTACTCAATTTGTCGCAGCTTTTCAGTGTCTTCCGCTTCAGCGCCTACGACTTTTAGTTCTCCTTGCCTTTGCTGCTTTTGTATCTTTTCTATTGCTGTTGTAACTGTCGTTGTGTCTGTCTGTCGCTGGCAGTTATTTTCTTTTGAAATTGTTGGCTCCTCGTCGCTGTCAACTGTGCTTTGACAGATCACCTCTGCACTCAATAAACGCAAACTATTGCTGTCGCTGCTGCTTTTATAGTTGTCACAACAGTTGTTGTTTGTGTTGTTGCAATTGCAGTTACTGTTACTGTAACTGATTGTGCTATTGTTGGTGTTGTTCTTGTGTTTATAATAGCCGTTGATGCTGCTGCGTTGTGTCCTCGTTCTGGCAGCTTCGGAGGAGCAGCCCATGTTAAGGCATCTACAAATAGAGGGCAAAGAAGAATGGACGAACATTAGTCACTCTTGGCTGCATAGGATGTATGGAAAATACACATTTCATATCATGATATTCTTCTCACAACATACTCATTCAAGGTTTTTATAATTCGCACTTGACTTCAGAAATTAATTCTACAATGGCTTAACGCCATTATGATGGCCGCCCAGTGGATCATAGCTTCCGTCCTTTCACTGCGGTCTAAGTCTCAACCTATTTGCGTCTAAATGCTCGGTGATTGTTGTCTGGGCTCGTGGACACAAGGGCATGCCCGGCAACTGCAAGGCCGACGAGTTGCCTGTGAAAATGAAGGAAATATCCGTCGCTAAATAAGTATGTTCAAGACGTGAGCATACCTCTAGATTATAGCAAACTCATCGATAAGGTAAAACCAGGTGGGCCATGGAAACCACCCGCCTGACTAATAACCAAATTTGGCGAAAGTTGGTGTAAAGCGATCTCTAAGATTAATAGTCAGGGTAATCGCCAGATACTGTGGCTAAGTAATTAGAGGTGCGTACTACCAATCTGCAGGACATGGGGTCGATAACAGCGCCAAAATAATATAATAATTATTATTATTACCCGGACATTGCCTTATGGGCAAACATGGCAAGAGATTGGTATAGGCAATCAACCAACGTAACATAAAACATGGGACGCAGTGTGTTCACCACAGGCATTACCGTCTTCTTCCGACAGCTAAGAACTTATGCCATTGCGAGCCGTTTCCATAGTAGCGAGTTGACCGTAGGTTCGGCAGTTAATTCAAGTTTTTTTTTTTTTGAACGAATGAGAGTTAAGTCGCCACAGTGAAAGGAGATCTAAGTGATGGGGTTTAAAACTGTATTCGTTCTAGTAAAGAGATTATTCCTTGGCGTCACACAGTGGGATAATCGATCCCGAAAGTGGAAATCAATTCATACGTACATTTAATGTAAAATATTTTGACGTATTTGTATAACTAGCACCAAATGAAGTAAAAAGAAGACAAATAGTTTAGTGGGATGTTTTTTTTTTATGTAGGTTTTTATGGCGTTACCAAAGAGCGAGAAAAGTTAAAATTTAGTTGTTTCTCCCATAAATAATATTTATTATTAATGATAATTTGTCAAAAATCCTAATCATCATTTATTACAAGTTATACACCACTTCTATCATTATAATAATTATCTTCATCATTATCTTCATTCCAATTTTCATCATCAACATCACCTACAACATCACTTTTTTAGGTAAGTTTTTATATGATAACTAATACGAATTGTACAAATTTTCTCATCAACATTTATCTACATGTTTTTGTTAAGCCTAGAAAGTAATTTAGAATATATAACCTTTAATAAAAATAATCATCGTCTTCGCTTGCGTCATTGTCATCAATATGAACATTTTCATCACCGCTATGAGGCTTCATAATTAACAGCTGTTGTGCTTCTTACGCCAAATCCTGCAATTTTTTTCTGGTAGTTTTCTCATACTTGATACAACAGGGTCGGAACTAATCAAAAGTCTATTGAATATATCTTCATTCGTTTTTTTTTCTGTTGCACTTGCCAGAAAAATGTTCGCTGTAGCTCTTAAAATATTTTTCGCGCCTCTAGAGCTTCATCTTACAATTGACGTTTATTATTTTTGAACACGGAAAACCTGTAGAGGACTCAAGCCAACCTTTATTTGCTTTGAAAAAACGTTCTTCGTGACTACAGGAAAAATATCTTTTCATTAAATTCTTTTAAATTTTCATCAGATGGCCTGATGCGATCTTTTATTTGTCCCGTTAAAACGTTAAATCTATCATTGAATAGATCGCAGCCAGAGTTTTTCATTATTTCATAAAGGCTTTGACGAGTAACCCAAATGATATTTGAGCTCGTTCTTATAAAGAAAATAATCATATAATTAGGCCTTTAAAGTCTCCGTTTCCTCATTAGTTAAAAATATCATCACTATCATTATTTCTATTCACTGCACATGATATTCATGCATAGAAATAGCAATAAATAATAATTAGCATTAAAAATATGCAAGATGTACCATTCTATACTGTTACTATTTTTACTTCTATACCCTATAAATCATTGGACAAGTAAATTACATAATTCTAAGCTATTATTGTAAAATTTAATAAACCCAAATTTCATTTTATAAGTCTGAGCAGATATGTACATAAATGTATACATACTTTCTTTGATACATGCAAGTACTAAAAGTTTCGCTTTTGAAACCAAACAGTATTTAGCATACTTTTGATAATATACGTATGTACCTAATAGTTATGCCGTATGTAGGGTATAAAAAAAACAGTAATTGAGCAATCAGCGATCGCGGAGAGTAACAATATTACTTTCTTGTGTGATTTGTACTTAGTTTTCACTTGTTATGTTTGGTTTTGTTCTTCATCGAGAATATCATGTATATTTCACCAACGAGGTTATATTATATAAATCGATAAGCCGAACAAGTAATTTTTAACAAAAAAACCGACTTAAAAATATATATATATATATTTCATGATCCAATTATCGGATTTAAACCAGATTAGTATGGGACCACCTCTGTGACAATGCCTTTCAGATGCAAAAAGAATTATTGAAATCGGTAGACAGTTATGCGGTAACATACATAAAAAAATAATAATATTTAGACAAACTGATAACCTCCTCCTTTTTTTGGAAGCCGGTTAAAACATGCCGCAACTTATTTTTAACAGAATGACACTATAACGTCCAAGGTATACATGTGTAAATTCTTACACTTTTGCTTGATCGCACCTACTTCTCAACTATATGTCTACGTATACAGCCAAAAACCCCCTATTTTTACGCTTACGCCAAAAAATAAAATAAAATACTTAGAACCACAGTAAAAGAAAACTAAAAATCACTTTGTATCGCCTAAATACCTGAACAAGAAGGTTCCATTGCCGTTTTTGATTTGTCTTTAAAGAAAACTCAGATATAGCTTGGAAATTTGAAATATTAAATCATGTTTTTCACTTTGTATGTGTATTCTGCCATTCTCATAAGAATACAATCGTCGTTCGGAGTCGGCGTAGAACTGTAGGTCCCTCCGCTTTATGTGACAACATCAAATCGCACACCACAAATCGGAGGAGAAGCTCGGCCAAACACTAACATATATGTAAGCGCCAATCTATTATTAGTATTATATTATTAATTTAAAGCTTTTATGTAGGAGTATGTTTTAAAGATCAATTACGACCGAAGCATTTCCCCCGGGAGAAGCCTTTAAAACCTTTCTATAAATTTGGTATGGATGCGATCTAAGTAAAAGATCTCTGTCATCGCTAGTATAGACGTTTTTAGGTTAAAAGCTGTTTCTGCCTATTACTTGAGTAGAGCAATGATGGGCACTGCCTTGCCCGCGGGCAGAGCTTTTTTCAACTTTCTATACATTTTCCATAGACACGCGCAGAGTAAGTGCACCTTTCTGCCCATCGCTGGCGTAGAGTAGTAAAAGAGAGGTGTTGAGAAAAGTTCACATCAAGAAAAAAATTTACAGGGTTGCCACTTTATTTAAGCTCTTTATATTTACTCAACTAAAAAGCATTGTTTTTTATTTTACTCAACGTTCAGATATCTCGATATTAACGGTGATGGATTTTAAGATTAACATCCTTCATTAGGATTGCCACATATTTCATTGCATTGAAAAGATAATTTATATTTTTTATTTGGGTATATTTTTTTTGAACTAAAAACTATTGTATTTTGTTATATTTTTTTATATCAAAGTATATATGCAAACCGCAAGTGTATATGCAGTTTGTAGTAAGGGTATTTTAAAGGTGTAAGCATAAACGAACTGATTTAGTTATTCTTGTTTTTTAACACTTTTTGATATTGCTAACTTTTAGACCCGCTTGAAACTTCAATCCACCATAATTAATTGATCTCTCGCTTAATCTTATAAATAGCTGACGTAATTCCTAAACATGCGCTCCCCTTTAAAATCCCAATTTTCACCCTTCTATTCATAGCGCCGCCAATTAGATTACAGCCTCTCCAAAGTCAAAGCACAAATTATGACACAAGCATAAGGAACATAATTATCCCATCAAAAAACTGTTGTAACAAAAGAACAAAGTAAAACCTAAATTTGGCCCACAAAGTGCTTACTAAAACAACACTGAAACATTCGGCTGGGAAGAGAGGAAAAGTTATGCACGGGTAAGAACAATTAGTTGAGAAAAAGTTTTTGATAATTATTTTTGGTAACATGATGAGTGCAAGCA